TTCGGCCTGTCGCCGATAGGAATGACCCGTTTCCTTTCGGCTAGTATCCGAAGGGGCGGGTAGCCACAGGTGGTGACCAATGATTTGCTTCATGGCAATGATAGCTTCACAAGTTTTGAAGTCTTTGGTGATCCAGTGCGCAGTGATACCAAAGATTGAGCGGCCATTGGTAGATGTCCAACAATCACAAGTGAGGCTGATGTAGGGCTGAGAGGCTAGCAGGTCTTTGAGTTTGACTTGATTTGAGCGGAAGCGAGACATGATAGCCTCAGAGATGCTGGTTGACTTCACCATCATTGGAAGGACTGAAGGGTTGCATAGCTCAATGAAATCACGAAACGCAGCGGACTCGATGGTGGTGAATGGTAACTCCTCTTGAATGATCAATTTCAATAGTCCATCCTTCACAGACTTGCGAGTCAGTTGACGATGCTAGATGTTACCATATTAGATTAGTATCATGAAAGGTAAAGAGAAGCACAAAATACTCACATATGACATTGTGCCACGCTCTCCAAAGTTGACCTTATCAGGATGAGTAGTCTCAAAGATTTGGTGCACACGGTTCAGATGTCGGATTAATCCCTTGGTGCTTGATGACTTTTCGGGGATGATACAAGCACCACAAGCCACTCCAGTTGGTAACTCCACCTGACATACATTTCTGATGTTATCATCAACTGTGACACTCTTGAAGTGTGCCCGAACCCATGATCGCTTGTAGGAATTCACTCGAAATCTAGATGATGCCAGGGGAGATGAGGTCGCAATGGATGAGAGGCTGGACTTGGGAGTCTGAACTATGGAAGAGCGATGACGTCTAGGACTCTGCCTAGGAGAAATTTGAGCAGATGAAACAGTTCTTGGGATTGTTTTCATGTGATTGATCTGATGATTCATGATCTGGAATCTGAATCACAAATGTAAGAACTCAAAAACCACTCGAACCTTCTTTTCGGGCGCCTCGGCCACAGTAGAGCTCGAGCATGGCCGGATGCCCGGTTAGGTTTTGAGTTTTTCGAGGCTTGGCCGAGGCGTCACCGTCCAGAAATCAAACTTGGACGGGCAAACCCCGAAAGCCATCCGGGCGTGTCGGGCGAGAGCCTTAGTCAGTAAAGAGACGGTTTGACATTTCCCCGCCTAAAATGTCAAACGAGATTAGGGAGAAAACAGTTTTGTCCCAACTTTGGATAAAACTCAAACAAAAAAAGGTGCATGAAAAAAACCGAAGGTTTCTTGAAGCGCTGTAGTATCTTTCATTGTTTTTCAAAGTTTGTTTGTAAGAAGACAAATCTTAGCAAATCTTCTTAAGGTATGAATGAATGTATGGCTGCTGGTGATGTAACTACTTTGGCGGTCTATATAAAGGCAAAGATGAGTTCTTTAACCTTGCAGTTTTATCTTGTAAACAAAACTTTTGCGGGCAAGTTTGGTCAAGAGTGACATCTTTGTTTTCGTCTTGGTTTCTAAATGGTAAATAACTAAAACCTTCGGGCTACTCATACTATTTTTGTCTGTTACTTAATACGTGTTCAACTTCCAAGTTCCATCCTAGTCACTTCTTCTCACTTGAAGTTCGTCACTAGAAGTTGAACTGTTGTTTTTTTTGATGGTGATCTTATCGAGATTCTTGGACAGGTTTCCGGAGCTAAGCGACGTCGAGGAAGGATTAAGCCCCTGGTGTGATCGTAGAAAATCAATTGAAGTACTCGTTTGATTTGTACTTGGTGAAATCATTGCTCGAATAGCAGTAAGTAAACAAGGCATTGAAGGATTAGATTGAGAGACTTGGTTGAAGATGATTATAAACCAGAATAGTCAAATCTATATGGTATGATGAAGTATGTATGGATCGGTTGATAAGCAAAAGATGATGAAGTCAAAGTGAACCAATCAACATCATCATCAACAGATTGATTGAATGAATGTGGTGAGTTTCTTTAAAGATATTGAGAGATTGGTAGTTTTAGTTTTAGTTGAACTTCGATGGATCATCATCAACTGGATGGTTTGATGGAATGGATTGATTGATGAGATCGAATACTTACCAAATTCTCATCAAATCATCAACATATTCCATGATCGATTTGACTATATCGAGACTTGGTTACTGCTACTACTACCTTCACCAAGTTAACCGATTTCACCCAATCAATTCAATTCACTTCACTTGACTTTACTCTCCTCCTCCTCGCTCCTCCTCCTCGGTTGTCTAATCACATTGTATCACTCTCACGCTGCTCACTCTCATCAGTTTGACTAAAAGACTCAATCATTCTCCTCATCATCTTTTCATTCTCTTTGACTCATCAATCCATCCATCAATCCATCAATCTTCCTTTGATCCTTGAAAACTAAAAAATCATCAATCAAAGGATTCAAAACCAATAATCCTTTTAAAGAAAGCTGATTACCATTCTCCCTTTCGAGTCATTCATCATCATCAATCCAAAGACTAAAACTACAAATCCATTGAGTTATCATTCGAAATTCAATCTACAATCTAATCTAATGTTATTACCATCATCATCATCATCAACAGTTTCGATGGATTCCAATTATTTTTCAAATTTAACTAGATCAGATTCAGATTCATCTAATTCGACTCTCAATTCTACTTTCTCTTCTTTCTCTTCATCTATCACTCCATCTCAATCTATCTCATCAACATTATCAACAACAACAACTCAATCAACCAACACCACCAACACTACTCCATCAACTCACCTTTACTCTGAATCTCAAGATCATCATCATCATCATTCAAATCATCAATCAATCACTTCAATCCTAAACAACATTTCATCTCAAACTCATCCAGATCATCATCATGAGATCAATAAAGTAATAAAATCTCAATCTACTTCTTCTACTCGAAATCAATCACATCAACTACCTTCTCCTACAATCTCATTCAGACTTTATTCAATTCAATCTAATCTTTCAAAAACTTCAGTTTCATCGACTTCACCTACTTCTTTATCACCCAAGAATTTATTAAAATCAACTCATATCAATTCAATCCATCAACAACTTCAACAAGATCTTTTACATCAAGGTTAGTATTTTTTCATACTAGTCCATCACTCCAAACACTAACAAATCTTTTGTGTTCTTTCACAGATCCATTGATTTCACCTCATACGAATTATTCGAATCTAGACCTTTTCTCTCATACCAATCTATCTCCATCAATCCAGAATTGGTCAGATGTGCCTACTCCTACTTCTTCAGTCATTGCCAAACGGTTTTCATTCTTGGCTGAATTAGGTATAGGTGAAGCAGCAGCAGAAGCAGCTTCAATCTTATTTCAAACACAATCTGTTTCTAAATCCAGTACTACCACTACTTCTTCCCCTACTGCTCCTACTACTATTACTGACAATAATGATAATACTAACATAAACAAGAATAATGGTCTGACTATCAAGACTACATTGGTGGAAAAAGAAACCATTGATAATCTTAAATCTGTTGATAAATCAGATGAAGATGAATCAAATCATCAATCATTGTTGATACCGAACCAACAGAGTCCATCTAGTCTTAGTACTTATTCAGCTAGATTCAGACCAGAGAGTTGTTGGATCCAATCATCTGGTTATGGTGAATTGAGATTGATTAAACCATCAACAAGTTCTGCGACTCATGATTTACCACCGATCCAAAGAGATGAAGATCAGATTCGAAAGGAACATGATCAGAAATATCAAGAATTATATGAAGAAACTCAATCTAGTCATTTTCAAGTTCAATCCAATCCCATCAACACCGAATCCAAGCATTTCTTAGAAAGCTATACGACACAAGATCAAGAATCATCAACTCCAAAACCAAATGAGAATCAGAATCAGAATCAGAGCTCGAGTCGATCTACTTCTTTTGCTCAACATGTTCGAACGATCTCATCATCTTCTCACAAACTTAAAGATCGACTACCACCTACACCTTTAAAGATCAACAGTTTACCCATCACCAAACGAAACACCATCTTAGTTGCTGATCCACAAGACCAAGCATATGAATCCGGATCCGAACAAGTGATTGTAGAAAGTCCATCGAATCTGAAGCCTAATATTACATCAAATCGAGTAGAACTTCATACTTGGCTTAATCTTGATCCGTACCCTACCTCTGGCTCTTCAGAGCCTAAAACGGTTTCTAGTAAACCTACGATTACAAAACTGACTACAAACCTTTCTACAGAGCTACCGAGTTCAACAAGTTCACCATCCCACAAACCACCAAACCAAACGGTTGTTAGCTTACTAACTCGTAGTAAAACCCATCATGTTCCCATCAACAAAACTCGAAACAAACCAAACGGTACAAAACTTACCATTCTTGACACTCTTAGGACACTCGTAGTACTACTTCATCACCACTCAGTTCAACAGACTTGCTTTCCAAACCCTCAAGCTGTCCAACATCTCTTACTCCAAAACCCAAAGCTGATTCAAAGAAAGGATCACCTACAAACTCGATCAATCACCCATCCACAGGCACACCTACCAAACGAAGAAAATCACTTTACCAATTATTTAAATCTGCCTTACAATCCTCTACATCTACACCTACACCTACACCTTCACCTACGAATCTTAATGATCAAAGTAGTGTGGTAAGACCAAGACTTCAAAGAAGGTCTACACGTGATTGTGCACCTGCTCCTGTTGCTTTAGTTGCTACGGTTAGAAGGACTAGAAGTCATAGTCATGCAACACTTAATCCGTCTAACAAGAGTCCTGCTACGAGTCCGAAACGTGTTACGTCGGATTCGTTGTATGATGATCATGATCAAGATCAAGATCGATGTCGGTCACCTTTTATGAAAGATTTCAGGAGGAAGAGTGCGAAGGAATTGATGGATGTTTTATTAGATGTCACGGATGATGTAAGTTATTTTTGATGCCTTTTCAAAAGAATCTTTTTTTCTTGGTGGGTTTTTGAACTTGATGAATGTTGACTTTTTGTGTTTTGGATCTTCATTATAACAGAATACGTTTATTAAATTAGCGATTGAAAATAAATCTTCTAATTTGATGTCTTCTTCATCTTATCAACATCAACAACAACAACATCAACCAAAAGAACAAGCAGAAGTTGTTGATGATCGTTTATCGTTAAAGAAGATTGATAAATCAGAATTACATCATTTGTTTATTATTAGAGAGCTAATCAAATCCGAAAAAAGTTATCTTGAACATTTGATTAGTTTACAAGAGGTGAATGAATTACTTATGCATTCAATGAATTCCTTAATTCTGACTGATAACTTTCTTTTTGGTGTGTACAGGCAGTTGAACAAAAAAACCAAACGTTTATAAAAACCAGTAAATCATTACAAAGAGCCTCATTATACTACTTACCCAACCCAACCCTTCAAAACACACACCATCATCCGATTCCCACCAAAAGATCATCTCATCAATCCACATCTACATCCCAAATCTTAAACTTTGAACAAAAACTTTCAATCTTAAGATCTCAATTACCATTACTCATTAACTTGAGTGAAACTTTAATCGAAAGGATTTCAGAATCTCCTACTATCTTGGGAATCTCTTTGACTTTTGTGGGATTGGAACCGAAGTTTGAGAACGTTTTTTTGGGTTGGATTCAGGTTTTGAATCGAATTAAATTTGATTTTAAGGATTTAAGAATTCAGACTCCTGCTTCTTCTACTTCTTCGGATCATTTGAATGGTGGTGGTGGGAAGATGGGAAAGAATAGGTTGAGTTGGAATGATATTTTGATTATGCCGGTACAGAGAGTGACTAGGTATCATTTATTTTTAACTGGTACGTTTTCTCTTTTTTTGAAAAACCAAAAAGATGATGAAATTGATTTTGGTTTTTTTTGGAAAATTTGATTAGAATTAATGAAATTAGAAAGTAATGGATCGAATTTACATAAAGATTGTTTGATGGTCAATCGGAATGGAATTGGATTTGATGAAGTTGAAGAAAAAGGAGAAGGGATTGAAAAGTTGGTTAACTTGAAGGTTGCACTTCATCGATCGAAATCATTGGCTGAGGTTTGTAATCTTCGGATTTAAGGTTATGGCTAAGGTTATGAAGGATGGAAAGTCGATAAAACAAACATAAAAATCAAGACTTGAACTTGGAATCTAAAATTGAAACTGAAATCAAAATCAAAATCAAAATCAAAACTAAAACTTGTGTAAAGAAAATCCTTCACATGAGAAGAAAATCATCAACAGAGAAGAGAAATCAAGAAAAGAAAAGCAGGTTTAGAAAACTTGCAAGGTTTAGAACAATTAAAAAAGTATAAAACAAACACCAATCCAACCAACAGGTTTTGAAGAATATGAAAAAATATTAAAAAAATCATCTTATATATATTTCGGTTTTGTATATAAGAAAATATTTACAGATTATGTAGTCATTATCATCTTTTTCGTTTTTTTTTCGTTTTTTTCTTCGTTTTTTTCTTCGTTTTCTTCGTTTTCTTCGTTTTCTTCGTTTTCTTGTTTGTAAGAATAATTAAACACATACGCATACACAGATATATACGCATACGCATACGCATACTTTTTTTTCCCTTGAATTCTTGGTTTTGGTTTTTGCTTGGGTGTTTTTTATTCTTGTTTTTTTTGTAGCCATTTTATTACTTTGAAATGCATTATTTACAACATAAATTCATTTGATTTTTCCTTTTGTTTAATTCTGATTTCTTTTTTATTGAAACTTCTTTCTCTAAAAAATTTTCATCTTTTTCTTATTCTTAATACATGTTTATTCAAGTTTAATTGATCATTTTTTGTTTTGGTCAAATCATTTTTTTTGAGTTTTCTTATTTTTTTTATAAAAAATGATTTTTTTTGATGTGTTAACTTTCATTTTGAATGATTTTTTTTATTTCTCTTTTTTTTGCAAATTGTTTGAATTTATTTTAATGTTTTCTATGGTTTTGTTTATCTTGGGGGGAGGTTGTAGTACGTTAATAAGAAAATTTTAAATTTTAAAAATTTGAAAATCTAGGACATTTGAAAGATATCTTATAACTTTGCATTTTTTCAATTGATACAGCTATTTTCCCTATGACACATTGGGTGCTATTGCACGACATAGTCCAACAAGAATTTGCTTATGCTATACCGTGCAGGTCTCAAAGCCACCATTTTAGGTAAGGTAAAGATGATAGATAGCCACTGCAGCCATATCTCAATTTCAAACACTGCTTGCTGTATGATCAGACTCATCATATCCATGGTGACCTCAAGTTTATCTTACTAATCCTATCTGCCTGTCAAGTACTCCCTGAATCTTGACTATCTTATTGAGCTTAAGGTTTTGAAAACCAAAGTGACAAATTGGATCAAGTTTATAATTGAGCAATCAACCAATCAATTGATCAAAATACTAATTGATGAATTGGTTGAGATACAACCTATTAACCAAGGTCAAATTGGTCAATGTACAAACCAAACTTGAGAACTTATGATGTAAATTGAATTATACTGCTACACAAACATCTTAACCCAACCTAATACAAAACCCATGGCAAGCTGATTGATTTTTAGATTTTCTAACACTAAAAAAAACTTTTTAGATTTTCTAACACTAAAAAAAACTCAAAATTAATTAGGTTGCCATGGGGTTTTTTGGATGGGGTTTTTTGAGGATGGGTTGAGATGTTTGTGTACTACTGATTCACAAACATGTGAATTCTTGTTTGTGTATGATTTTTTTTGAAAAAAGAACAAACAAACAAGCCTAAGTGATCTGTTTGGGTTTGGTAGGTAATTGAAATCAAAGTCAAAGTCAAAAATCAAAACAAATTAAATTTTTGTTTTGTTTTGTTTTGTTTTGTTGAAGCTGAATGGTGAATGGGAAAGTTAAGGGATGGGTTCCAAGTAAGTAATAGATTGGCTAACAAGCCACAAACACAGTGCCTGTGGAGAGGGCCCCCAAGGTTGGGGGCTCCAGCAAGTACAAAGGCTTGCCTTTGTACTCTTGAAGGCCTCTGATGTTGGGGGCACTGTGAAAGGAGTTGATTGGTGGCTGATGTTTGTTGCAGGATATCTGATGAGGGGGATGGGAATGGGAGAAGTTGTTCTGATGAATATTTGGCTGAGATCTGATCTGATGAATTTGGGAATGAAAAGGAGATAGTGGCTCAGAGAGTCAGAGAATCAGAACCGATTCTGACTTTCTGAGGTTCTGAAAACCTTTTAGATTTATATTTGTAGACCATACTTGTTAATACATTTATGGGATACAAGCATTGAGACTAGTTTTTTTCCCCAGTTTCTGAGTTTCCTAACTTGGTCCTTTTGGCTGTAGTTTGGAAATTGGGTTTGAACTCATTTTGTAACATATTTTGTTTTGCCTTCTTTTTTCTGACTTCCTTGGTTTGCTATACTACACAGCGGCTCACTCACAGCTCACCTTTACACTACATCCACAATAATGAATCTCAACTTTTAGCCCCCATGCCTCAATTGACTTGCAAACAAGCCCTCAAGAATTTAATTCAATCCACACAACATGCAAGAAAATCTCTTGTTCAGAGCAACCTGGCCATCTTAGCATCTCAGAGTCAATGACTATGAATCATAAACAACTTGAAAAACTACATCCACTCTTGTACATACTGTCTAATCAATCACTTTTGGAAAATCTCATAGGCCACATCCTTTTCATATTTCATGGTTTATATTCAAGAGTATGAATATATGAAAGCACAAGAAAAAAATCAAACTGAAGCAGAGGAAACATGATTAAACTTTGTCCAGCAGTTCAACTTTCAAAATTTGAATTGAACTTTTCATGAGAGACCTGGCACAAGAAAAATGTGTGCTCATTCCCAGTGAACAAGATTGACCCATAATCTACCAATCCAATTTAAATCACCTATACCTCCCAACTGAGCTCAGCATTCTCTCCAACAACCTATGCAAACCCTACAATTGATCACAACAGATTGACTGGGAGATATTATGTTTACTAATCACTTTGATCACGCACTGAATTGGTATTTGATGGGATCAACATGTTTGTATTACAATTATTACCTTTAAATGAATTACAAAAAGAATGTAAAAATTTACAAAATCAAATGATTGAATTTTTATCAACTTCACAACCAATTAGCATCAATAATATTGGTTAAGATTTAGATTTGATTGAATTTATTAAATCTTTTATTTTTTCTATTTTAATTATTTAGCTTCTTTTTCTATCACCATTCCTGGTCAGAATGGTCAATGGAATAATTTTATTAATTTAGAAAAATGGTGGAAAACTCTTCAAAATTAAACATTTGTTTTAAAACCTTAGTAAGAAAACAAACTTTATTGATCAATTTTTTTTGTAAATATAATGCTTAGCCATTGCTTCAGTATGAGACGCTTGAAAGCCTAAGTAAGCCTCTCTTGTCCACCCTCAAAGAGGGGCTGGTTTGGCCTGAGCACAGCAGGATTTTCAAGCAAAAGTGCTTGAAACCCCATTGTGAGGGCTCTAGAAATTGTGTGACCTCACAAAGATTTAGACAGATCTTCTTATAAGCCTTATACACACGCTCATGTTCTTAGCACCACAAGTTGAGCAAAGTGACACAGCTACGGTGGCTGTGGAGCGCCAAATGAGTCAAAACCCCAAAAAGCAAAAAATGTACATGAAACACCCTCAGAAAGCCACGTTGAGCCTATCCCGACCCAGACTCCGCTGCCTCGGACAAAACTTTACCCGTTGTCACCCCCAGGTGTCCTCTTTGACAGTGCAATTCTTATGCAGCAAACTTGATCAATGTGAATCATCCCTTTCTTCATATCAGCTATAGGAGATCATCCTAAATTCATATGTTAGGTGGAGCATGCGAAGAGATTCTTTTTGAATGACCGCTCTAGAAAAGCCGTGTTGTGTTGATTGATCAATAAACCCTTCATCATATCGAACAAATTATGTATCCCAATCATCAGATAATATGGTAAAGTGTGTTACTATGTGTTTGGATAATCATCATTGTCTCAACAAGACCCCCATGATGCTTTCATGAAAGGTGATCTTCATAGGTTTTGGGGGGGAAGTACACAATTTGTGAATGGTCATTTCTGGGTTACATGTTCTTTGCTTGCTCGGCAATACTTGAAAAATCAGGACTCAAAAAGTATAGATGAGTTGCCAACAAACAAGAATAGAAAGCTGAATAATTGCACAAAATTAAGTCGAATGAGGGGATCTCTGTTCCCAGGCCAGCGGACCTCAGCGGACTCAGGATCGGGACAGGCTCAGCGGGGCTTTCTCCCAAGGTTTCATGTAGAATTTGCGCTTTTGGGGGTTTTGACTCAATTGGCGCTCCACAGCCACCATACACAGCCGAGTTGTTGAGTTTTTGTAACTCTGGCACAGGACCCAGGAATGCGCCTACAGAGGTATCTGATGTAAATTCCGACGTTTTGTTGGCGGGTTTTTAGGGCACTAAACGACACATTCACAGCACCTACAGTAGTGCAAAATGTGCGTGACATTAAAGGCTTTCGTTTAAGCTAGCTTTCAACCTCATAGCACCAATACTTCCTGAGATAATGGGATGTAACGGTCAAAAAGAGCCTTAAAATCGAACGTCGGAATCAGGCCTTGGAGGCACGAAAAAAAATTGCGCCAATCGATTTTGCGCGAAAGTGAGGGGAGTTGAGAGACTGGGGGTAGGCTCATTTGATAGCCCTAGTCCATGCGCATCTTTTGAAGTGCTCTGGACCTTGAGACAAGGAGTGGTGTGTTGTGTAGAGCCCAAAAACTGAAAAACAGGTTTCATCAGATACCTCTGTAGGCGCATTCCTGGGTCCTTCTGGCACTCATTCAATACAACTTGGAGTCCATTCTCCTCGGGATCCACAACTGTTGACATGCTAAATGTGGCACCAGGAGACAAAGATGACCTTGAAGAAGCTCCTCTCACTTTTTGGTGGGGTTTCATGAATTTCAAGCCCTCACCATGGAATTTCAAGCAATAGTGCTTGACAATGCTGCTGTGCTCAGGCCAAGCCGGAGGTTTGTCAATGAGTGGCTCCTCGAGAGCGGACATGGCCGCATCGGAAGAGGGGCTTAGTTAAGCTTAGGGGACTTGAAAGGTACAGATAGTGTCCTTCGCGAGGATTGTAGAGTACGGCGTGTACGTTAGTGATCCGATGAGAGACACGAACCATTTGTTCGCGTTGGCAGAGTGGTACAATACAAATCGGATTGCCTCTTCGGACCGCAGCGATGGGACGTCACTTTAAAAAAACTCGCAAACGGGGTTGATGGGGTTGTGATCATCTTAGTTGGCACAACAAAAAGATCGCGCTGAGGTGAAAGGATGGGACAAGGTTGTCATAGTCCTATACATCTTTCATCGCAACCCCATCAACTGAATTCGAGGTCATATGGATGAAACGCTATTGAAATGCTTGGAGCTATCATCACTATGATTGAATCAAGTTGAGCATGCTCTTTGGTCGAACTCAATGTGGAACGACCCGTTGTGAAAAGCTTTGAATCATCAAAATTCGATTGATTGCAGAGGTTTTGAATGTGCATGCTAACATCGCACCAAGCGGCAATGAGATTCAAAGGGGCTATGGAAGGGTATTTCGTGACGAGTTTCTGCAAAAGGAATCACAATAAGTAAAATGTTCGAAAATTCAACAAGTGTGAAAAGGATGACTCACAATCGAAAAGACCGAAACCCATGTCATCATCGGATTCCTCCTTCTCTTCTTTCTTCTCTTCGGCTTTTGGTGCAGCAGCATCACCACCAGCAGCAGGGGCAGCACCACCAACAGCAGGTGCGGCAGCGCCACCACCACCGGATCCAACATTGGTAAGCATATCCTTGATATCTTTTCCTTCAAGAGCCTAGAGGAAAATCAAACAGAATTATTAATCTGAAGATTGAGGAATCGGAAAGGATTGATAAGTACACACCTTGGCGAGGAGAGTAGCCCAGATCGGTTCTACGTCGATCTTGGCAGCAGTGCAAAGGGTGTTAATCTTGTCTGCGGTGATTTCAAGACCCTCATCGGCGAGAATGAGGGCAGCGTAAGTGGTAGCAAGGTCGGCCATTGTACTAGAACACGTAAGTCAATGAATGATGAGCCAAGACTGAGCGTTGTCTGATGAGCTGAAAGCTTGAAAGTACCTAGGAATATTTGAAGCGAAAAGCCGATGATCGATTTAAGCCGTAGGGCGGACCGTCGGTCTGTTCAATAGGTTGAGGGTGGTGGGTGCAGTGGTTGGCAGCGTAGGTCTCAAGTTTCCTACCGGCAGCACTTGCGTGAGAGTTAGGGTAAAGATCGAAGCGTATGTCTCATCAGACTAGGGCTAAACCTATCAATTTCAGGGCCATTTGAGCGAAGACCTCTTACATCCCATATCCCTCGACCTCCCAAGTCCCATAACACATATAATTTCACAATATCTCCAGGATGAGAAAGATCTCGTCTGGAACTGAGATGACATTTGATTGCGGCATTGCGACCTAGTCGAACATGGCACCAACATGAAATTTAACCAAGACCACGATGAGCGTATATTTTTGCAGGTTTCATATTCACGGGATTGAATAGACAGCTCAAGGTTGAAGTGCCGAAGCTTTTATCAAACAAAATATCATCGAGGACTTCGAAATTGTCAATATGTATTGCATAGAGTGATTGCCAGAATGATACCTCAAGACTTAAACAACCTTTCTAAACATCTCAAGTTTTGGAAAGTGACACAAGTTATCACATTTCCTCTCAGAAAATCTTGAAAGACGATCGATTTGGATTGTTCATACATACATAGATGTTTGTCCACCTAGTGTATCTCTGACCAGCGCATAACTCTTGAACCAATTGAAGGTCAAAATTCATGAGGGAAGATTGGAAAAATGCGGTGAACAACAGCTAGATGACCATTCCCCGTCAAATGCTAAGAACTCGATCTGATCAAACGGACCTCTGTGAATTATAGCCGACGGATTTGAAGATGCATTTAGATACGATTTTACTGCATCCGGGTAACATCGCTATGATTTATGTAGAGCGTATTTCTATAAGTTAACTTCTTCTAATAAAATGAACAGGCCTCATGTTGAAGAGGAGAGCATCAGGGATTAAAACAACGCATGCGACACATCAAGATGCAGTGGAATCATGAAAAAACGATTTGAGAAAGAAATACAAGGTTTGTATCAAGACATGAAGCAAAATCTCTAGGAAAATTACGCCTCATTTGAAAGCTTTAACTCCTAATATAGGATTCGTGTCTTGATATTACTGCTCGTTCCCGATATACGCTCAAAGAGAGACGAGATTTCAGCTGTACTAACATCGGCCAATTGGCTAACTTGTATATCTGCTAATAGATAAGCAATATCACCTCTACTATCTGAATATTGTTTTTCTACATTGTAATCTCCTACGATCGAATTGACGTTTTTGAGAACTCCGGGTTGATTTTGATGCACATGACAAACTCGAACATATCCAGTAGCAAGGATAGGTCGAAGTGTAACTTCTGGAAAGTTAACAGCTCCAATTGATGAACCAAAGGTAAGATAACGAATTAAAGCTTGTGCTACTTCTGCTCCAATTGCCCTCTGTGCTTCTTCTGTTGATCCTCCAATATGCGGTGTCAGAATAACGTTTGGTAGTTCTTGAAGTTCACTTGTCCAAGAGTTGAGTTCGTCATTGAAGTGTTCACCATTACCAGCTGGCTCGTTAGGATAGACGTCTAGTGCAGCTCCAGCAAGTTGTTTGGTTTTGAGCGCCTTGACAAGAGCTGGGATGTCTACCACTTGACCACGTGCGTTGTTGATCAAGAAGCTTTCGGGTTTCATTTGTGCCAACTGAGCAGTTGAAATCATCCCGATGGTCTCAGGAAGCTCAGGAACATGAAGGGTGACAAAGTCAGCTACACTGAGCATTTCTTCCAAGTCTGACATCTGTCTTGCTGATCCAAGTGGCATGATCGGTACTACATCGTGATAAACTACTGACATTCCCATTGCTTCTGCCAAAACACTAAGTTGAGATCCAATGTGTCCATAACCGACAATACCTAAAGTTTTTCCTCGTACCTCCCAACATCCCTTTGACAACTTGTTCCAAACCCCACGATGAAGTTCAGCAGATCGATCGAAAAGTTGACGAGATAACGCGATGACTTCTCCTATGACTAATTCAGCAACTGAACGCGAGTTTGAGAAAGGTGAATTGAAGACAGAAATCCCGGCTGAGGCGGCGGCTGTGAGGTCGACCTGATTGGTACCAATACAAAAACAACCGATGACTAACAACTGTATTTTTGAAGAAAATGATATCAGTCTTTCCATAAAAGAATAAGATTTGGAGAAGAGAAAAGTGACGAACTTGACCAGCTACTTCTTTGATCACTTTAGCTGTTACTTTAGTCTTTGATCGAATCCCTAATCCAGAATAACCTCCACTCTTTATTTTCTCAATCAAATCATGTTCATTCAAAGCAGTCTTGACCTCATCCACCCCATAACCTTGACCACGTAAGAGCTCGACCGCTAGACTATTGACGTTTTCGAGGAGAAGGATCTTGGTTGGACCAACTGCCCAAGGCGTTAAAAGCTTTCCTGAACTGTCGTGTCTTGCATGGGTGGCCGATAAAGACTGTTTAGGAATGTCGGGAGAATGAGTAACGCTTGAGACTGTCATTTTGAATGTGATCTTGAAGTATAGGTTCTGATGATATCCAGTGGTTGAAGGGAGATGATCAAAAAAGTTGAAAGAAATCGGATCGGATCGGGGCAGAGTTACTCGTTCCTGATGACGTTTTTATAGAGAGAAGCTCGCGTCAAAAAAAAGAGAACTGAGCGATAGTCCTATATATCACCAACGGTGTATATCACATGGCTCATGATAAGCTACAGGATGCTATGCAAGTTATTGCTTCAGAGCTTCTCCTTTCTCCACGCCCAACTCAATCAGCAATTATGCTATGTAGTAGAACCAATCCCCAAATGTTTTGCCTGGGTTCTGCACGGCAGGAGGATATCAAGATAAGAGTCTCTCCGCAAATGTTCTTGATTTCGGTCTTATCTTCTTTTCAACTATGATAACTTGATGGCAGTGATATGTTTTATTCTGCGCTAGAAACTTGTTTGAAATCTTTCATTCAAGCCAAGGCTACACCACGGGGCGACTTTGACCTGGGACCACATGAAATGTAAGTTGGGTATGACCACACCAAGTGGTTGTTTAGAACAGGTGGTACACCACGGAGTGGTTTGGCCCATCTGCAGACGAGGACAGAGGCCGTCTGCAGACGGGCCTTTTTTAATATAGTCACGGACCGTCTGCAGAAGGGCTCCAGTCCCACTATCTGCAGACGGTCTTTTGAATACCGCCTACAGCCAGCCTACAGGTTGAGTGAAGACGGTAGACAGAGGGCCGACCACCGGTCTGGGTCTTGGGTCCTGCTCCACACCAATCCTCAATACACCACAGGGGTGTTTTGCCCGCCTGCAGGCGGTCCATCCAGGCCACCTGGAGACGGTCTGCCCTTCTGCAAAGGTAGGCGGTCTCCAGGTGGCCCTCACGCGCGACGTCTGGCAGGCACCTGCTGGGCTCGCCGGTAGGCTGGCTTGCTTGCGCCCGCTGGCGGGCTGTGATCTGCCTTCCGTACATCAAAAAAGCAGTTGTACACAGTATGTACATTAAGGACAGAACCATGTGTAGTCCTCAAGCAGAACTTCAGAATTTCCATGAAGGATTGGTTACTTTGTATAATTATATACAGAAACAAGCGACTCCGAGTTCAAACCTGAGCCAGGATCATCACGAAAGACACCAATCATATCGTGATATTGGTTTCACAAGTGATTAGCGACTCTTGATGTCCTCCAGACTCGAACTTGACAATGATATCCCGTAAAAACTACACTTGGCAACCTTCTTTCCAGGTCATTGATTGTTTTTTTTGCAAAGGTTTGACAAAATTAGCAGGCAGACAGGCCGCCACCGCGTATTTGGTCTGACAATGGCCCAGAGGCCGACTACGGCCTCGATTTCTCTTGTCCATCTTCAGGCGGTCAGTGGGCCGCCGATCGATGGCCTGCCAGCCGGTCTACAGGTGGCCCTCAGGAATGACCATTCTCAGACTAAGAAAGGCCATCTCTAGACTCAAAGCCCCTCCGTGGTGTAATAGTCCAGTGAGATGGCTGCTAGCCTTGAAATTTGGCTAGCAGACAACTGATTCAAAGAATCAGAATAAAATCAATTTATCAATGCATTAAGGATCTCTTCAGACATACAAAGGTGATAACAATCAGTATAATGAGTATATAATATGAAGATACAAATTACTTTCTATTGAAACTAGATAAACATGTGAAAATCACAACTTTGTGTTTCAAAAACTTTGAAGTAAAATATAATTTTTCAATCGATTCTTTGTATTCTTTGTAAGTTTGATTTGTAGTTGGGTTCATATCAATCGATTCAAAAGATAAATTCAACATTGCAAAAATTGGATTAATTGGTGTTACTGATCAAGTTCTACCAGCTCTTGTTATAATTTTTCAAGAAAAGGATCGATTCAGTAATTGAAATCAATTTCCCTAGATTTGACAGAATGAAAAGCAATTGACCATTCTTTGAAATCACTCAATTATTGATTTATGACACCTCGCTTTGTTATCATCGATCAAATTAGATTTCAACAAAAAGTGATCATGATTTGTGGGTTGGATAGCTCGCATAAAACTTGTACTCATTACGATGAATATCTCAGGTTTTGATATTTGATCCTGGTAAACTCAAGATTGATATTGACCTGATATTTCATTGATAAAAAACTTGAAGGTGATTTGTATAATCTAGAAAGAGTTTGTTCTGGTAAATTGTGTAGGAATTCGGATAAACTTGAACTGATTTCGTTTTTATCTGTCTTTTCCATCTTGGAATGAATCAAATCAAATAGCAAATCGAATGAAGGTTGTGTGATCAATTGATTTGAAATGCTGAGCTGATCAGTTTGGTCGATCGAATCAAGCTAAGTTAGCCTAAGTGATTTGTTACCACCCATTAAGAATTGGTGATTTGATTGGGTTCTGATGATCCGATCAATTCTGAATGTAGTTGAACCTATTCCATTACCAATCTCACCATTTCATCTAAGAATCATTTCATTATCATTCAACCATCCAAAGACTCATAAGTTATTATCATCAACTTATGATGGGAAAAAAGGTTGTGAATATCAGTCAAAAGTGTTTTTCATGAAAAGTCTGAATGATTGTGAGATCTCAAAGGGATGTTCTTCGATGATAAGTTTTCTTAAATGGTGTGAATGAAGATGAGACTTGATTTGATTGATTTGATTGATTTGATGATGATGAGATAGAAAGTATGAAGTTGATGATGGTGATGATGATGAGTTGAGATGGATTTGATGAAGTTGAAGTGGTTGAGAATGGTTTTGAGGAATCGATTGGTTGGTTGGTTGGTTGAGTGATGTCATGATTTGAAGTTGAGGTCAAGTTCAGTTAAAGCTTTATTAAATTTGACCTTATAATACACCACGGAGTGGTCCGGCCCATCTGCAGACTGGGACGAAGGCCGTCTGCAGACGGGCCTTTTTTTATATAGTCACGGACCGTCTGCAGGTAGGCGCTGGTCCCACAGTATGCAGACGGCCTTTCAAATATCGCCTGTAGCCAGCCTGCAGGCCGACTGAAGATGGTATGCAGAGGATTGATCACCGGTCTGCACCGGTCTGGGACCTATTAAAGACCAGTCCTCAACAAAGTCCAGTGAGACGGCTGCAAGCCTCAATATTCGGCTAGCCAACAGTTAATTCAAAGAATGAAAATAAAATTGATTCATCAATGGCTTAAAGGATTGTTCAGGAATATACAAATGTGATAATAATGAGTATATAATAAGAAGATACAAGTTGTTTTTAAAATATAATTTTCTAATCGATTCTTTGTATTTTTTAATTAAGATATAATTTTCCAATTGATTCTTCGTGGGTTTGATTTGTAGTCAATTTCATATCAACAGATTGGAGAAAAGAATCTAACATCATAGAAATGGTATCAATTTCTGCTACTGATCAAATTCCACCAGTTCTTGTTATAATCATTCAAAGAAAGAACAAAGTCAGTGATTGGAACCAGTCTTCCTAGATGTAATGAGAATCAATCGATCCCTTTTAAAAGCACCCAAGAGCCGATTACTAATTTATGATGTATCATCATCGTTATTGTCGATTGAATGAGATTTCAACAAGAGTGGTATGATTTTCAGATTGAAAAGATTGAATTTGAGGTTATTATTACCCATGAAGGTCAATGAGACAGATACAATTTTGATTCAATCAGCACACTTACCTCATTACTCTCAAAGAGTACTACTCAATCAGCTTTATCACCTGTAGTCTAATTCAATCGGGCTTAGGTTGAATGGACGGTGTCGTTGATGAAAAAAACAAAGTAATTTAGTTTGATGAGTGCAGGAGCTGACCGATTGGTGCAATGTCAGTTTTTTGAGAAGTTTATTGAGAGCACAGAGATTAAATACCAGTAATCGAGTTTGGCTAAGATGACTGATGGAGGTAAAGAAGGTAGTGAGTCTTAATCATGATGAGATAACAATCTGGTTTCTAATTCTGTCAAGAGTGATTGATCCTGAATGAGTTTAAAACTGGGAGCCGACGGGAGTGATGCTAAAGCTGAAGAGTTTGATAAGTTGATTTGATGATTAGATTAAATGAAAGCAATGATAATATATCTTGATGCAGATTAGCAATTGAATGAAGTTAATCAATTTATTTGATTGAATTTGGTTCTGTTTCTGATATAAATGAACCTGCTGTTGATCGATGATGAAATGGTGGTTGATGGTGATGGGATTGATGAATCCACTATAGTGCAAAACAGCAAGACTCAACAAGCGCCGGATCGAGTTTTTTTGCTTTTTGGCGGGGCCGGGCCAAATTTCAAAATCCAAAAACAAATTATTTGTGTGTTGGATATGGCTTGATCGATTCCTCAATCACCTTCATCAACTCATACATACATCAGACCACCTCGGGATCTGACGACAATATGGAAGAAGAGCCATCTTCTGTTATTCCGCCCAGAATCTCCTTCAATGCCTTCAAATCCAATGCCATCAACCTCCGGCTTCGCGTCGATCGAACCTGATCAGAATTTATCACTTTGGATTAACAACATCAATCGTGCCTGGAGTCGACTCAATCAAACAATTGATCAAACTTCAGTTCATTAAGCTGATTACGCGATTAACACACTCTTCAATCAACTTGATGAACAGAAAAAGTTCAACCCACAAATCCAAAAGCTCAATATTTCTAAACCTCATTTATCATCAATCAAAGAACCAAAACTCAAGTTCAAGTAAGTCACATGCTTTACTCACAAGTTATTTGGATGATGTCTGACAATTTTGCCCGACTGATAGATCAAGATGATAGGAATCACTAAACCTGACAAATAAGCTTGTACACACAAATCAAGTGTATCAATTGCATTGAAGGGTCATTAGCACAGCTGTGATGAATATTGGCATCTGATGAGCTGAATTTCAACTTATTTCATTGTCATCTATTGCTTTGTGTGGCATAAATTTTGAAAAATTTACCTCACACACTTAAAATCCATTTCATTTTATCTTTTCTTCTCTCCCACAACTGCGTGCCACTTGACCGATCTATGTATATATTTTTTTATTCAAACTTGACCAAAATGAAGAAGTTGGTCTTTGGCAATCTCACACTGTTTTTGAGATTTGATCCTAATAAAATTCCCAAACAGTTTTGAATAGCTGCCGATGAGCCCGTTTCAAAACTGAAATCAAATCCCAAAAAACTCGAAAAATGGCCCCGCACAAAGCTTTTGAAAAAAAACCCGACACTTGTTGGGTTTTGCTGTTTTGCACTATATTTAGGATGACCGGATGACAAGTGGACTTGAAACAATTTGAATGGACCCAAAGTACAAATGCTCCGAGCTGTCCCGAGTTCCCTTAAAAGCCATGTTAGGGAAATTCCGGATCAGGGATCAAGTCAAGCTTAGCTTGACTGATGCTTGCCTGCCGGCGGTATCAAGTCGAGCGGCAGCCATGTGACATGCGGCCGACTCAACTACAACGCACACCAGCTGCAGTCCGACTCCTGGCGGTACTCAATCGGACTGCAGCCAGTATGTAGCCGGTTCTTGCAGGCCAGTTTCAGGCCTTTTACAGGCCACTTTCAGGCGATTCTCCGGCCATTTCACGACCCCGACGATCTGCAGACCTCACCGACGCTTTTTCTGCTCAGAAACCACTCCGTGGTGTAAAAGATTTTATTACAAGGAAGAACAGTCTGGCAGACGTCTCACAGGCGCTCACCCACCCTTTTTCAGACTTAACTACGCAGACCAGCTGCAGTCCGACTACCAATGGTACTCAATCGGACTGCAGCTGGTATGTAGCCGGTTTTCACAGACCATTTTCAGGCCTTCTACAAGCCATTTTCAGGCGGTTCTCCGGCAATTTCAGGACCCCGACCACTTGCAGACCTCACCGACCATATTTCTGCTCGAAAACCACTCTGTGGTGTAGCAGTGTGACCGCAGCTACGTGGCCCTCACCCAAGCTTGTCGCCCGTTCTACACATGAGCTCGCTATGAGCAGCGAGATCACGTTACGTAATGTGATGGACCAGCCTATTAGCGGGTGAGCTGATGCGTGTGAGGGGGACCTGTCAGCCAGGTGCTCAGCACCTGAATCAGCTTGGATGACTCAGATTCTTGAGAACCCAGCGATATTTGTACTTTACAATTTTTTGGTTTTTATTTTTATTTTTTAATTTTTTTGAGGGACAGTGACGTCACCGGTTTTTACTTCTCCAAATTCCATTGACCACCGTCGTTCTTCTATATGTCGTTCCGCACACGACCCCCTCAAACGTCTTCACTTCAATCAATCACAAGAAGTCTCACTCTCACATCTTCAATAGCGAGGTTCATCAACTGCATCACATTAATGTAATAGATTGCAAGAACAAACTGGGTAACTTCATGGGTTTGTCTGTTTCTCACATCAATCTTGTCTGCTTGATTTTCTTTTGATCCTATCATATTCATTGATGCCCTTTATTGTCCTTTAGCAATATCAATTCACTTGTATCATTGTGAGTTTCCCTCTTTTTCTCTTCTTCAAAGGCTCATTTTGATTTGGTCATGCTCGGCCCTTCCTATTTTGTTCTTATGACATTGTAATTTGATGATGCACAGATTGATGGCTTTGAAAATATCCTGGGTTCGATTACTCTGTACTCAACCTTTAGAAGAAGAAGCGAAAAAGTTCAAAAGTTCTTTTATCAGGACTGTTTGTTCTTCTTTGTCTCTATCCAATGAATCATTTCTTACAAAATCAAAATGAAAGTCATGAAGAATACATCGAGCAAAATGGACAGATGAATTTCAAAAGAACTTATAACACAATCGAACTTCATCATGCTACTTCAAAGCCGATGCTTCTGAAGTTCAATAAACAATCACTCAATTCAAAACCAAATGAAGTAGTCAACTTTTACCATTCTTTTTCATTTCTATTGGATCAGAGGACTCAATAAAATCAGCTATAGTAAAACGAATGAAATCATTCAACAAAACGGATACACTCGAGACGAGGTCATTTCTTTCAGAGTAACAATCTACAAAAACTTAATAGATCAAGTGAGATGTTCTTGTTCTGAAACATCTTAACTTTATGATTCAAATTTACTGATTTCTTGGAACTACTTTTTATCTCATCCTTACTTTTTATCCGACTCTCCCTTGTCCACAGATTGCTCAATCACTGGCTCGATCACCTGTTTGTATTAGGTAAGTAATGCACACATCTATTTGGCTTCTTGTCTCACATTCAGTCATATCTACATCATCATTTCTTTTGATACGAAGATCCCCATTACCTTCAGATCTATTTTATTTTATTTGAGTCTTTCCCTCTCAATTTTTTGGCTGTACTCTTCCAATCTTATCTCTTGTATTAGCTTGGTATATGTGTGTAGTATTTCAGGGTTTTGCCAATGCAAATAGTAGATGAAATTGGTTATGCACAATTTGGTCAGCAAAAAAACAGCCCATCCCAGTTTAAGTGGGCTGGCTATTAAGAACAAATAACACGGAATGAGCACTGAGGGGAATCACTCGACCTTTCATTGGGTGATCAAGCCCGCACCATTGTCATATCAGATAAGTCTCCTTGTCACTGTGCGAGTCATTCCACCTCGTCATGATATGAGATTCTCACCTTGTTATGATATGAGTCAGATTGGGTGAAGCTCACACTGGCTAGCACGTGTAGCTCACATCAGGTATGACGATGTAGACAGCACGTAGTGTGAAAATTCACGTGAGCGTCACGTGCCAGTGGCCCCATGGTGTAAGCTGAGGAGCAACTTTTGCATGAATGCAAGGGCTCCTGGATCAACTCACCTTGTAGCTCTGGTCACCAAAAAAATCTGAGTAGCTTACATAAGCTTCGGTCTTATAAATTGGTCAGACGTCATTGATCCGCCTCTAACTCGATGGGGACAATTTCCATGAAACCAAAACAGTTCAAGAGACCCTGGGGGAGAAGGAGGGGTATTTTGTAGCAAGAGTTCCACCCTTTTCTGGTCAAGGCCAAGTAAGGCTATGTAGTGAGCCCATGCCAGCGTAAAAGGCTCAAGCTCAGTTGTCTTGGTTAAATGGTAGCTTTCAGAAATACGGTGTAGCCTTTGGATGCGTTCCCGGGCAAGAATGATGATGTTAAGATGGAGTGTTCTGAGGTCTGACTCCTGAGGACTAGTGGTTGAGCAACAAATCTTGTGCAGGAGATGACAAAGCTTTAGTCTTGCGCTCACCGCATAAAAAGAGCTTCGAAAAATCGAGATTGGGATGCTGATGATGCGTGGCTATTTCCTTTCACCCAGAAATATAAAATGGTCAAGTTCATCCACAAGTACTGCATGCTCAAGTTCTTACCTTATGACGATATGGCTCATGGAAAAACTGCGAGATAATCATATGCCAAGGTGCCTTGTCCATAAGTCCCACAGGTCCGAAGAGGTCTTTCGTAATTTATAAAGGGTACGGGGTCTTTCGATCTCCAGCAACTATGACCAAATTGTTTAGCAATCATGATCACTTCTTCCGAGTTCGATTGGAAAGGGTGCTCAACTATATAAATCCACATGATACTCTGTCAGTTCATCATCGTCAGCCTCCCAATCTCTACAACTTCACTCTTGCAGATATCATACCTGTAGATATCAAGTCTCTTTCCCATCCCTCACAGCTTTTATACATCAAAGCAAAAACAAAACCGCTTCATTCCAGTCAAAATGCTCACAGACAAATCAATCAAACTCTTTCAATATGTTACAATCTTTTTAGCTTTCTCTACTTATCAATTTACCAGTGGTAAATTCATCTTGACTCCTACCGGCAACGCAAAGGTCCCAAATCCAAGTGAACAACCAGACAATCATAACACCATTTCAGCTGGACCTCCAGTAGGACATAAACCGAGTCCTATCGTTGATGGATCACAAGTCTGTAGTCAAGGTTTTGGACAACGGCATACACCCAAAGGCAACTTCTCTGTCAAAGCCGGACAGGAAGATACAACGCGTGAGGACATTCATCTCTCACTTGATCACTCATAATGTCTTGAATTCTATGAGAATTAACTGTCAGACTAATCCAGTCCTTGTGCCTCGAATTGTTTTTTTTTTATGATCCCGTAGCTTGTCAAACCAAAGATGCAGTCTTCATGTGTTTACCTTCCTCGTGCCATTCACAAGGTAACTAGATAATTTCATTCCTTCTTCAACTCGTTTTCTCTCCCACAATCTCTTAAACTCATATACCATCTTCTGGACCCCTATCAGACAGGAAGCCACACGCCTCTGCTTCTGGATGCGAAGGTGCATCAGGCCCAACACAATGCTTGGCTTACAGTTTCAAACCTGAAGTTCAAACTAAAAAACCATCTGAACCTCCACATCCTAAACCTGTTCAATCATCTCCAGCTCCTCGCAATGCTTCTCATACAATCAAAACTAGAGCTGAACCTGAACATAAAGATAAAAGTTCCGCGGTCAAATCCCCACTGGAGTGTGTTATCTCAAGTGAACCGCTAAAATCAGCAGGATGCCAAAAGATGGACAGTGTCGTAGGTAAGTAACTTTCAAGCTGATTCAATAATTGGAATGTTGAAGCTGAAACTATTCTTGCGTGTGGTTTTTGCATTATTCTTAGAATGTACTAAATGTCAAAAAATTGCAGTCTGATTAAATGATTCCAAGTCGAATCTTTGTGTCTGTTGTAGAACGGATTGAGAATAGATAAAGATTTGTATTTTTATCTCTTGAGAACAAACACACATATATACACATCCTTACACATTTTGATCAGAGAGATTTATGAAGAATTATAAAGCCTTTTTGACTATCTCATTTTGGGAATCTCTGAATGAGTAAGATAAGAAAAGTGAAATGATTGTGATGGATTTATAACTGGATGAAGATTTATTCTTTAGGGAAAAGGACATCTTTTCAGAAATCTTTTGCAGAAAGAAAATTGAGTCAAAACCTTGTCATTGAAGATACCGTCCATCTTCGTTGTATCCTGTTGTCTCTCATACTACATCAAACCACTAACTTTTACATTCACCCGGTTGTTAGTGACACTTGAAACTGTCATCTTGAACAGGAGGTATAATTTAGTAAGTAGACTCAAGTGGAAATCATGGAGGGAATCAACAGTCAACAAGAGCTGAGCCTGTGCTGTCAATCATGCAGCTTATGATAAGCTACAGGATGCTATGCAAGTTACACTCTGTGAGATCTGATCAAATATGTAGTTTCAGATTCTCAAGTATTTATTTATACGAAGGAAAAATGATAACAAGATCTAGCTTGTCAAAGCTTTGCCACGCTCAACTTAACATGTAGCAATTTTACCATATGGTTGACCCTATCTCGTATGTTTTGCCTGGTTTCTGAACGGCAAGGGGACATCAAGATATGAGGCTCTCCGCAACAAATGCAAAGCATAGATTTTATCTTTTTTCCGATCTATGATAGCTTGATACATAACTGAAAAGTTTGATTCTGCGCTAGAAACTCGTTTGAAATCTTTCATTCAAGCCAGGCTGAGAGTGAGGAGGAAATTTTGCTTGAATCGGTTCACATGGGCGAGGATCCTGACTCGCCTTGAAGATCCGATTGATAAAAAGAAATTCCTGCGCTAGAGTGTCCTTCAGAAAAATACTTTGAATCTCTAACCGTTCAAGAGACCCCGGGACACGAGGAAAACAGGGGCGTCTCGTTTCTACCCTACTCTGGTCAAGGCCAAGTCAGCGACGGAGTGAGCAGGCTGCAGGTGTGAGCCCAATCAAGCTAAACCAACTTAAGCTCGACTCTCTTGGTATGCTCCAGAGAGCATAGTATCCTTTGGTTGATGTATCAACGGAAGGGTGTGCTCTCAGGCATGAAGGATTTTGAAGCGGGGTGGTCTGTGCTCTAGGGAATAATGACTGAGCCGAATATGCCGTGAAGAAGATGGCAATGTTTAGTCTTGCGCTCACCGCACGCATAGCAAGAGCCTCGAAAGATGGAGGTCGAAATGTCAATGATACTTGGCAATACGCTTCAAGTTTCATCCATAAATTTAAAGAACATCAAAACAACACAAATCAGAGTTGCAGCCCATGGTCAAGACTAAGTTCACCCACAAGTAGTTCCTCATCAACTGCCTTCACCTTTTGACGCGCCGAATATGGTGGCTCGGAACACCACCGATGGATCCCACAATACACAACTGAGGAATGATGACCAAGTCAAAGTTACAAATGCCAAGGTCCCTTGCCCACAAGCCCCAAAGGTCCGATGAGGTCCCATACAATTCAGAAGGGTGCGGGGTCCCATAATCTTCAGGACCTGTGACCTATCTTTTCAGGAATTGTGATCATTTGGAGGGTGCTCAAGTATATTCAAACCTACTCGATCCTTTACCTTATTTTATCCCTATCAACATCTGACCATATCTTGTACATATCTTTTTTGCATCTACTTCAAGTCTTCTTAATTCACTCACGACTCTTATCCACCTCAAAATGTTCACAGACAAATCTATCAGAATCTTTCAATTCGTTGCCGTCTTTTTAGCTTTTTCTAGTCATCACTTTACCAGTGGTAAAGCCGTCTCAACTTCCGCCGGTAATGAGGTTGTTCAAACTCCAAGTAATGCCCCAGCCACAAATAAACCACAGCCTATGACTGAAGGACCGCAACTTTGTAGTCAAGGTTTTGGACAACACCGCACACAAAAAGGAAATTTCTCTATTAAAGCTGATCTTGAAGTTTCAACACGTAAGGGTCTTCCTCACTTATCGAATCACTCCTGATGTCTCAAATGCTATGAAAAGTGTTTCCTCAGCCGGGTTCTAATTTTTTTCCGTAATTCTGTAGCTTGTCAAACCAAAAAATCTGTCTTTATGTGTTTACCTTCTTCATGTCGTTCACAAGGTACGTGACCAATTTGGTTTATCTTTCATCGCATCTCCTTTCCTAAAATCTTAGTAACATTCAAATATTCCGATTCACTCTCAGACAAAAAGCCCCACGTCTTTGCTACTGGATGCGAGGGTTCTTCAGGTCCAACACAGTGCTTGTCTTACGCTTTCAAGCCTGAAATCCCGGCTAAATCATTCGGAAGTTCGCCTATTCCTGTCCAATCCTCTAAAGCTCCTCGCCCAATTACCCGTAGAGCTGCACCAGAAAAGAAAGAACAAACTTTTGTGGTTAAAGCTCCATTGGGTATGTTCAATTTGATTTTTCTTCTCGGAAGTGCACCATTAATTTCTAACTCTATTTCTTTCTCTTTATTAGAGTGCGTGACTTCAGCTACTCCACCTAAAACAGTAGGATGCCAAAAGTTGGAAAGTGTTATGGGTAAGTCGGTATCGAGCTATTTCAGAAGCATTGAAGTGTTGAAGCTGATATTCTTCTTACCCTTCTGTTTCATTATATACTCAGAATGTACTAAATGTCAAATACTTGTCTAGTCGAATAATCCTTTTGTAAAATAAGTCGAGATTGGGTGAAGTGTTTTACTTTCTTTTGAAAATAACAAACATCCTTGCACATTTTGATCAGTTTGAGTTGACAAGACTTAAAAACCTTCCTGTACTCATGTGGTCTCATCTTGTGAAACTCGTCATGAGTGAAATGAGAAAATTCGTAAGGAGCATCAAAAAAATGTGGATATTTGCAACTTTGAAGATTTGTTCTTTGAGGAAAGTAGACAGCTTTGTGAAAATTCCTTGACAATTCTAGTAAAAACAGTATGTGGTCTCTTTCACCTGTACATAGGTACGTGCTTTGAAGATTCAAGGAAAAAAACATTCCTCAAATAGCTATTAATCTTTCACCTCTTGCTCAGCCTTCAAGATTGCAGTTGTGTAAGTTCCCGAACTACATCTTGACTATGACAAATATGTCTGGGATATCCCATGCGTGCGAAGTCCGGAAACCATTCGATTTCAATCTGGCTTCAAAACTACGACTGGGCCATTTTCCTGGCAAGAATACCTCGTACCAACGACGCAGGAAACTGAAATTCACGTATAGGTTGAACCTTGAGGCCTTGCTTTGAATCCTTGTCGACCTTGATCTCCCACCATCCTTGAGCTTCGATCGATTCAGTCTTAAACCGATCCATCATAAAGTATCTTCGAAGTGACTTACCCGTAGGATCATATTCCAACACATTTACCTTGAATGACGCTGTTGGTAGGTCCTTCTCCACTAATTCGTAAGTTAAGTTCTGGAATACATCAACCGATCGTGTTTCCCATGCATGCAGTATCGCACCTTCGGGGGCATGAGCTGTGTACGCCAGAATACAAAGATATTGGTTAAGAGGTGTGCCTTCGATTTGAAAACAGGGTTGAGCAGCAAGTGGCTTACGGTTGATTAGCTTCTTCAGTAACGCCTGAAGTAGTTCTATGTTAAAGGATTCGGGTGTAGTAAAACCAGAACAACCATGCATACATTCCATTCTTAGTGGGTGAATATTTCGAGGTTAGAATTTGTAGGGGAAGGTAGAGATATTATGGTGGATCGATGGCGAATTTATATTTCAGAAGCGCAAAGGGACTTCTTTATATTTGATGGCGTCACCATCAAATGCGCATTGCACTAAGATCTGTCTAATGGCGTATGTAACCATAGATCTGCTAACACGTCTGAAAGTATCCATTCCGCCCCTGCATATATGGTCCGCGAATCGGGACTGCTTGACCTAGCTCAACTTGAGTTGTACATATACGGTACTCAAAGCTACATAGTTACACGTATATAGTTGTCGTATATACCTTTTTTTGGCGGGGAAAATAAAACGAATATACTTTTGGACTCGTTTTCCCCGCCAAAAAAACTATGTAGCAAAAAGTATGTACGCGTACATACTTGCTTTGAGTACCGTAATACTACATGGCTCTGAAGCAACTAAGTGTCCTTTGGCGAAAGTTTGGTTGGAAGGATGTTCATCATATACATTCAACTTTTCGGGTGCTTGGGCCGCGGGCGAAGCGGGACGATCCATAGTTGGAAAGAATCTGTCATATACCTTCCGGGTTGGTAGCTAGCTATCAACATGATGGAAGGCAACGAGCGACCACTGACTAAAGATCTTGACTGCTTTGTCGCCTTGCATGTCATTCATTTCATCCGTTCGTCAAGCTAGTCTATCACATTTCTCACACATTGTCACACATTGTTTCTGACAAAAAAGCACGCGATGGTTTGACAGTCTATGGAATTGGGACTTCCATATGTGTGTAGGTTGCCCCAACCCTACAACGAGAGATTTATCAGTAGAATCTTTAAGCTTTGTGTAGCCCAAGAAAATTTCCTTCAATGGATATTGAAAAATTCTGCCTCTGCCTCTGAATGATGTAGTCATCACAGTCACATGTATTATCTGTCAATTTAGAATTTTGGAAACCTCACATGAGGATATAAGCAACCAACTTGGAATTATAAATTGTTGTGATGAGCTTCCAGGGGAACATGTGCTGATCTTGAGCAAGTGGTACTTTGGTTGGCCTCCTACATACAGGACATGGAAAACTCACACTTCCAGATGTCACAATCCAACCCCATGTTAGTATTGGAAGTTCCAACCCAGGCAATCAAGAAAAATTAAGACAAAAAATCAATATCAGCAAATTGTTGTGATAGCTGTGATACTAAGTAATTAGTCCCACAGATTGATCCACTTACCTTGATACATTGTTCATGAACCATTTGGGGAACATCCCCACATCCTAATTTTACAACTCTTTGCCCCTCCAAGGATCCAGCTCAACACATGGCACATCCTTTATGACTTTCATTGCAAATGATGCTTCATTCAGAATATTCATCTTCATCTGGAAGTAAAAGACTTCTTAAAGATCCGTAGTGGCCAGTTTCTTCTACAAACATCAGGAGAACTTTGATCAGTCATCCTGCAACGATGTCAAAAATTACATATCCTGTATTTCAGTGACCTTCCCATTCTATGTTGGTTCCACATCTTGGATCAACAAGTGGGAAGAAATCACATATAGGCTCTGGTACATGGGAATGCCAGGGATCCCAGATGGTATTCCTTCTATCATAAATTTATTTTAAGGTGTTGGTGAAAGTTAAATAAAGATGCTTACCATTTTTCCTACATGCCTTCTCAGGTATTGTTCAATTCCTTCTATATAAGTGCTTACTTTTTACATCATTTCAATGAGAAAGTCTCAATCTTCATGACACTTCTCCCCTTGTGTAACATGTGGGCCATACAATTCCTTTTCCATGCTGCAAGTGCAGAGTCTTGGATATTCAATATATGTAGACATTGTTTGATGTAAACAGAATTCACTGATCTCCCAAATTCTCCTTGAATTATCTTAGAGTATTGGGCAGTAATTAAGCATCTCACATCCCCCTCTGGTAAATCACTCTGGATTGTCTTCTGGTTGATAATCAAGATTCAACATTCTGCATAGCAGTTGGATGTAGGTTTTCCTGATATTCTAACATATGATAAAAAAGGCAAAACAATTGGAACTTTTCATCTCGAGAATTCTTGAGAACCATGTGCTGCAAACATTGCAATGGCAGCAAACCAACAATTTTGGGGTTGGCTGGAAAGCCCATTTGGAGTAACTTGTGGTATATGTCTATGATTGTGATTTGGGTGTTTGATGTCTTCCTTTGGGGTGTTGGAGGTACTTTCTGATGTCCATAATCAACTCAATGTACCTGAGAGCTTCAGTGATAAAACCTTGGAAATTGGTTTCAAAGTCTCCTGGTATTTCAATATATGATACAACCACTTTATAGATTTTCCTGGCATGGTTTCAAGTGACATGTTCTGCAAACATGTCAATGTCAATGATTTTATTGTGTTCACATCAGTCACAGGATTTGTTTGGAGTAACATCCTTATTTTCCTGATGATCCTTTCAGAGTGCAGAAGATGACTTCTGATGGTTGTGATCAGCTGGACTTGCTGCACATCCTTTTTCAATAGAATACTATCAGAGAGTGTATGTAAAAACTGTGTATGTTGCATTATTTGATCTAAGCATGTGATTTATTTATTTCAAGTAGTATTATCAATTATGTTATGTATTGTTTGCAATGTCAATGACTCCACAGTTCACAATTTGGACAAGGACTTGTCTTGAAGTAGTTGGTCATGTATCTTCATGAAGGCAGTTCTTTGAAGGTTTTGTTTGCCACCCTGAAGTTAATTTTTGATATTCACAATCAGCTCAAATTGCTTGAGAGCATCAATGACAGCTGGAATCATTTTAATTGTCTCAGTTCTGCTTTTGATGGCACCCAAAATATGCAAGTGAAGTGTGGTATGGTGATCTCATCCATCTTTCTGGAGAGTGATTAATGTCCCATTGCGAATCTCCACCCTAGGTTTAAAGTCAAGTCCTCAGGAAGTGCCTGAACTTTCCTTCCAGAAAAGTAATTTCAGGTGACAAACTTTCCTGGTCCAACAGGAAGAGCTCCAATCCTCATTGACAGACACTACCTTTGTTTGGGTTCACATTCCCTCTTGGCAAAAAATATCAAAGTATCTCAAGGACACACAGATTCCACAGTCTTTCATATGATCCTAAATTGTTTCTTTGTAGATACTTCAATGAAGTGATAATACAAAACCTAAGGGGTCCATTGGTGAAGATTGGAAATTGTTCAAGATGTGTAAACAAGATTTCCAAGCCCATGTGTATTATGTTAATGCCGGATTGATGAATTCAAGATCTATTACCAAGCCGTTTGATCTCATCCATTGCTCTGTGAAGATGATTGTGTTGGGTGACCTTTGCAAAGATTTTTGAACTGCAAGGGCTTGAATTGGCGTCATTTTGGAAATATTCAAACTCTTCAGTTAATGGCACAAAGGTATCTAATTTCATGAGCTGTTTTTGCATTTCATCTTGAATCTTGTAGTTTTTATACTTTTTAAAATTAGTGGGCACATAATTTGTGCTTTCCTTCTGCAACCCCACATCCATCACCATTTGGGACTGTGTTGGAGGCGAGTTGACTTGCTGTGCAGATCTTACACACTTCTGTGGTCAAGCCCAAGACAAGTTTTTCGTTTGATTTTTGAAGAGAAATATTGGATTCATTTGATAAATATAGAAGTGGTTGGACAGTGACTTCAGGTTTGAGAGGTTTGAGACACTTGTCAATATTGCAGGTGGAATATTGATGGGGTAAAGGATTTTGATATTGGCAGTTGATGCTGGATGTGTAGGGATGTGTTCAGATGTGTTGGAAGAAGAAGTTGAGAATTTAATTTGGTGCCTTTAATTTTGGACTTGTAAATTTGATTGCACTTCGAATTTCTTTCTCCCAACTTGTCTCTTCAACTTCAACTTCAACTTCAACTTCAACACGCCATTCAAACAACTCGAGTATGAAACATCAACCCAAAACATACAAATTCGCATACTATTGTTCAGGTCATGGATTTGGACATGCAACAAGAGTAATAGCGATCAGCTTAGAATTAATCTCATCAGGTCATCAAGTCTACATTATCACATCAACACCTAAATCAGTATTTGAATCGATTCTATCAAACCAACTTATCTATCGATCCAAAGTTATCGAACCTAAAATCATTCAACCAAAAGCTTATGATGTAGATAAATTTGAAACGTTTGATAATTTAGATAAGTTTATTAGGTTTGATCGTAATAGAATCTTAAATGAAGAAATCGATTGGTTGAAATCGGAAGGAATTCAATGTGCATTGGTAGACGCTCCATTTGTACCTTGGTAAGTCTTTATCTTTCTATTTTGATTTTTGGATACTGAAACTAATGATTCTTCTTAATTATGTTAAACAGTGCTGCAGCTTTTCAAGCAGGAATTCCTTCCGTGATCATCAGTAATTTTACATTCTGTTCATGTTATTCGTATTTATCAATGTCAACTTCTCAATCCGATCCATTAATCAAATCCGAAGAAGTTCAAGCTCCAATAGACCCAAAGCTTTTAGATCCATTAGTCAAAATCGTCATTTCAGATTATTCAAAAGCTAATCTTTTATTAAGATTACCAGGATCTATACCGATTCCAGGATTTGATACAGATGTAGAATTACCGTCAACTAAATGGGTCAACCTTGCAAAACATTCATTTCAAGACCATATACATAATTTATTAGATAGATCAATTCAAGACATTCCAAGACCAGTGATCGATTTACCATTAGTTTTTCGTAAAATCTCAAAATCAATCTATAAACCGAACCAAAAATTATCATTATTAAAACTTTTAAATCTACCGACTTCATTACAAACTTTAAATACCAAGATCCTTTTAATTTCATTTGGTGGTCAAGTGATACCTAGACCTAAACCCATTCAAACTTCTGAAAATACAAATTCACCTTTCTTTGATATCTTACCTCCTGGTTGGATTGCTATCGTTTGTGGTTCTTCGGTCGATGGTTTAACTTCTCAAGATGCTCTTGATCGGTTTTATCCGATTCCTAAAACATTTTCTTATGTACCTGATCTTACGGCTTTATCTGATGTAGTAATGGGTAAATTGGGATATGGTACTTGTAGTGAAACATTGGCTACTATGACTCCATTCATATATGGTAAGTTTTTCTTGAACCATCAATGATTATTTGTTATTGAATTGGATTTCTCACAACTGTTTTGAATGTTTGTTACTTTCTTCTGAATAGTACCTAGACCAATGTTTATTGAAGAATACGGATTAAAGAGATTAATCAAAAACTTAACCAATGTAGAAATGAGTCGGAATGAGTTTGAAGAAGGTAAATGGTATGAAAAAATCTTAAAAGCTGATCAATTAGGATCTAAAATTAAACAAGACTTTATTAAATCTCAACTTGAAAAAGAAGAAAACGGAATTGAAGAAATCCATTCTACTCGAATTGTTGTGAATGAAATTGAACATTATTTGAAACAAAATTTAGATCATAATGATAAGGTGGATGATGATTTGGATGGTGGTGAATGTGGAATTGATCATGGTTTGAATGATGATCATGATGATTTAATTTGGAAAGAGAAAGTTAAACTCGATTGTAATCATCATGATTCAAATCACCTTTCTTGTTAAACCTTTTTTTCTCTTTTAATTTTTCTCTTGAATCCTCAAATTCACTTCTTTCTCTATACTTTCTTGAATCGTTTCCACTTTTTTCTGTTCTCTTTTTTACTTTTAGAACATTTTTTCTCCTCCCCTGAATATACACATCTCAATGTTTTCTCAACTAATTTGGATATGTATCACTTCCTTGTCTTTCCTCAATTTATATAATTTATGTATGAGAAAGTGTAAGATCAGTTCATGTATGCTTTATTGAAGGGATAGCCATACTTTTTTTTCAATTCACTATGTATCATATTCAGGAATGTTGGTTAGTTGTAATATGAGTTCAAACTCTCCAAATGCACTGCCAGAAATTCAATTGACATTTTCATCACTTTTTCCTCTGAGCTTAGTAGCCTTTGAGCCAATGGTGAGGTACTGTCATTGAGCTTACCCATCACTTTGATCAGTGACCATTGAGACACGTGATGAGAAAACAACACACCTTGCAAAATTGAAATCTAACTTGATTTAACATGGTCCCTCAATGCTGAGGGACTTGCCCCCAAAAGTTGCCTTGTTGCTTGAGGTCTAAGGTTCTTCTGAGCTGAGGAATTCTTATTTCAGGCGGACTTGTGTTAAGCTAAACTTTACGTGTGGCTCTGCTCAAAAGGTAGTTTGGTCAGTCTATTTGTATCCTGCTTTAAGCAATATCTTTTTTGTTGCACTTCACCTCACCGTAGAAATTGTTAGGATTCTAGTATGTTGTTGTTTTCATGTTGGTACATACTTTGGTACCACATACACACTGTTTTATGAGCGGAAGGGTTCTGAATTGTCAGTGTAACACTGAGCTCACACGCCAAAAATCACGAGTCCGATGTAAGCCCAAGCCCCTCTTCGAGGGCGCGGCGAACGCGCTCGTGAGGGGCTTAGTTGAGCTTAATCGCCATAGAAGGTTTAGGGAATCATGAGATTGTCACTAAGCCTTGGGGCAAGAAGAGATTGAAGCACAGGTTGGTGCTTGATGATATTAGGCAGGATGAGTCTCTCAATGGTCCGTTTAGATATACAATGTTCAAAGCAATCATAGTGCTTGATTTCGTAGTTAATACAAGAAACAATCTCTCCAGCAGTACAATCAAAGAATAATAGAATTGAGAGGATCAAAGGTGGCGAAATTCAAAAAGTCATGTGTCAGAATCAGAATCGCTCCAATAACTCTCATCCAGTCTGTCAACCTCTTCTGTGATTTGCCTTACTCGGTCCAAATAAGATTCTAGAGCTCCGTTCAAAGCCTTTCCAAAGCGAAGCACATCTGTCGCGCTAGGAACGTTGAGACGTTCGAGCTGATCAAAAAAATCATCCACAGAGGTAGACTCGTCCACGACTGGGCGATCAACAATACCCGTCACCACACTTCCAATCACATCTTGGAATCCATTCCCTGCCTTCGAAATTCCTCGTGACGTCTTAGGACGAGGATTCGAAGTCGTAGGTAAACTTGCAGTCCGTATGATCGTCGGACGTAAAGCCGCGTGTCTCTTTGGCCCCATCGCTTTGAGGAAGGGAAGATGTACAGATAAAGTTTGGTCTTGTCGGGTTTGTGTACCAGATAAGATTCCATTGGAACCAGGTGTTGTGAGAGGTGTTGTTGATTGAGTTGGGAAGGAATCAAAGTATGCCAACTTCATCGGATTCGCAGGAGAAGTATCTTGAGTTGAATTCCTGTTGGCGTTGCTCGCCTCCACTGCACTGGTATCCTCACTTGGCGTCCCTTGATCCCAAAACTATGATTAAGCAAGAACAGGCTCAAAGATCAGACTCGAAATCGATTATAACCCCTCTGATTCAATTTCCAGGAAAACTCACCATGTTGCACGAGACAGGTCACATGACCATCTTACGCCTACTCTTGCGATCCGAAAAGCCAGAAAGACGTGAAGCCGTAGATAATGGCAGATAAAGCTCCTCGCTTGGGCCCTCGAGGATTGATTCCTTATGATCTATTGATTTGCGATCTTGTGGAGTCATCTTCTCACAACTAGTGCCACATGAATCGACAACTCCTCCAATAAAATATGGACCTGAACTTGCGGTCTTGTGTATAGTAGGGTGAAGTGATTGCAAACAGATTCAAAAATTGAAACCAATCAGTGATCGTGTTGTTATCCAGCGATCAACATTGAAGGGGGAGAGATAAAAGAACTCACGACTGGCAAAACACACAGAGGCCAAGAAGTGATAGCTGAAGTTTGGATTTGATGACGTTTGCCTTCTCGAGTGGATTGAGTACTTGCTCCAGGAGTAGAATAATTAGGATACATTTCTTGTAAATGAATCAAAGATGACAATTGAAAACAAAGAGTTGAAAAGGTTATAAAGAATTAAGTGTGCAAGATAAACGAAATCAGAGAGGGAGAGCAATCAAAATGAATGAGCTTGGCAATTGTTTTGATACTCGAAAGAAATGTGAAAAATGGACAAGACAAAAGAAGGATTTGATCCAAAGGTCATCCCGTTTTATAGGCTACATAAAATCCATCAATTGTTAGCTTGCTAGACCCAGTATTCTACGACAATCATGCTGCAGTGTGTGTGCACGGGGTCATCAGACATATTGAACGGCACGTTAGAATATTAACATAGAAGAATCAGGGCATCAAGTGGGCTTGTTGTCTTGTGTTGTCTGTTCCTTGGCCCTCAAACTCTACATTCTTGTGGACCGAGACTTGAGAGCGTCAATGGACCTGAACGAGGTCTTGCCCTGCATAGGGCCAGAGCTGCTCATCACCTTTCAGAAGCAATATGTGAGAATCGAGGATACTCCAGAATTGGCGAAAACATAAAATCTTTTTTCTCATCCCCTCAATATACACATCTCAATGAATCATTTTCTCAACTAATTTGGATATGTATCACTTCCTTCTCTTTCCTCAATTTATATAATTTGTGTATGAGGAAGTGTAAGATCAGTTCATGTATGCTTTGTTGAAGGGGACTTGCCCTCAAAAGTTGCTTTTTTGCTGTAAGAAAACAAGATTACAGGTTTGACACTGTGTGACGGAATAAAACCTTTATAAGGTAGACAGGACAGACTTAGCTTTGTGCTGACAAGGCAACTGGCTAACCAAGACAACGAAGACTCTAAACTCTGAGACAAACCTGAAGGAAGGAACAGAGGACTAAAGTAATAAAAAGAACTATGATGTGAAGAAGAGAAGATTGATAAAGAGAAGAATCAATCAAAAGAATAAAACACAATAAAATAAAGGTTCAGCTGTGTTTAGAATACTTCTGAGGGAAATAATGAGATTCTGTGTTTTTACTCTCACCTTTAGAACAAATTTCCTCAATGGGGAAAAAGATTCAGAGGCAAGAGGTGGGAGGTTAATAAGAAAAACACAAAGACATAAATTTTCACAATCACAACATCAAACAAAAACATTCAAACAAACAATCCCAAATTAATCCCAATCCGGACATCTTCTTCTAACACCATCCTAGCAACTGTTACTTTATAAGCCTTCACTCTTCTGTAACACCTTCCCATTAACCGAATTTGTCAATGTCAGTTAAATTACTTCTACCATGACATTTCAGTACTTGAATGATACTGTTGATTTTGTTCTACCTTGATTAGGCCTTTGCCCTGGTCCCAGAAATCCGGGGAGTCCCCAGCTCCGGCCCCTGCAAGGACGGGAATTGGGATTCAGTCTGGCAAAGAAATTCCCGCGGGGAATTGCAGGGGCGGGAGTCAAGAGCAGTGCCAGCTCCCTGAGCTCCCTGAGCTCCCCGCACTCTGGGTGCACGTGAATCAAAGGACAGAGGGCAGGGGTGGCAAGAGTGGTGCCCAGCAGTGCTGAGCCGTGAAAAGCTCTTATATTTCAATTCATTCTGGATTACAATATGTAGATGTCAATTGACCTAATATGTTGTAATGTATATATTTAATCATCAAGGCCATCAAAATAAGCCGGACCAAAAGCACGGTACCACTCCTTAACACAAAGATTGCTTCTTCCCACCAAAGGCACGACATGATAAGTTACTTCTATCGTAGCTAGGAGGGTAAGGTAACAACTAGGTGCACATATAAGCTCACACACACGACAGGGTAGGGTGGGCCCGGAGAGTAGCCGTATCAGTCTTTACGGGAGACAACGGGAGACAACGGGGACAGGCCTTGTACAGCTTGGGCTGTACAGTGTGTTAACTTTTACATATTCACCCCGAGCATTTGTCCGTCTCGAACTTCTTGTGCTCACTCACTTCCTTCAGCTTTCTTCTTTTCACCATCATGCTTTGCAAGAAATGTGATTGAAATCAATTCCAGGGATATGTGAAAATCTTCACATTGAACTTTTTATCAAGTTTTGTCTGATTCAACTTTATCACAAAAGGCTAGATTTCTTGACTGCAAGATGTGATTGATTGTGTTTCTCACAAAAACCTTTTGTGAAGTAGATCAAAAGAGACTTGTCTTTTTGGTTTTGGTATGGAAATGAATAAAAAAATCTAATTCTTTTCTAATTTTGATAATGGCTTCGGTTTTTAAATAGAAAAATGATTGAAGTAGAGTCAAGAGTAATGCTTATGTACGGTGAACAAAACAAAAAGGACAAGGCCAATTGAAAAAAAAAATCGAAAGAGAATCACCGT